CTCTCCAATAATTACATACTTCTCTCAGGTTTAGACTATACAAATAAGCTGTAGAAGGCATCTGTGACTTTTTTTCCTATCACAGGTTTTTAAATGGAGGGTTTATTTAACTTTGCTTTTCAGTGTTAGCCTTGGAGACATTTCCAAGAAACAATCATTATGCAATTTCTCAAGAGCCAGAGATAGAGGAAATAATTTCATTTGTCTCAAGGATCACATCTGTGTACATAACTCAATAGTTGTTGGTACTGTTATGTATTCTGGCAAGTAGAAACTGTCTTTTGATTTTACTGTGATCTGTCTGATTAAAAAACCAAAAGCAGAGAGTTTTATGGAAATATCCATTGGTCACCTAACTCTATATTTTCACTATCAGAAATGCATGTATTGTAATCATGTATATAATGCATTCTTTGTGTATGCATCTACTTTCTATTTGAATTTATCATTATGAATATTTCTATGTTGTATTCTAGTTCTTTCTTTCTGTACTGAGATGAGGAAGGGGGGGAAGTTCTTACTTACTACATATAATTATGCTTGAAGAAATGAAAGTTTTATGATGAGTAGAAATCAAATACTATCCTTCCATTGCCATGAAATTATTTCTAATTCTAAATTCCACACAATATACATAATGTGGTAAATTTACAGAAGGCCTTTGAAGATTTTATTCTCTTTAAACTCTCAAAAATTTTCGCAGAATAAAGATATAAGATTGCAACATAAAATCAGAAAAGACGCAAACTTGCAAAAATAATAAAATTTAAATGTACATTAATATGAAAGAGACCGTTACTTAAGATCTTTACAAATAAATAAAGTTAAAATGTGTAATATTATCTAGGGATAAGGGAAACTTACCTAATTGAAATATCTGTCTTTGAGACCTATATTGATCCAGTTTTGCTTTCATCTTCTTGGGTTACTGATTTTATTCCTCTGGGTAACACATTAGTCATTGAAGATTATAGAATTCTGTCCTCTTTGAAGGAAGACATCTAACATTGAAATCTCCCACTTGGCTGCAAACACTTGGAGATTTTCTATTTAACTTTACAGTCCCCAGAGTATGAACGGGAAGTATTTCTGTGTCTCTAGGAATTTGTACATCTGTTGGACCAGGTGTATATAGTTCTTATTTCCTTACTGTAGTGTAAGAAAAGGCTTGAACCATTTTCAATAATTTAAAAGCTGCATGTGAGGAGAGCTGTGGTGGCCTAGTGGCAAGGAGCTGCAACTACAATCCCAGAAGCGCACGGTTCGAACCCACCAGATGCTCTGCCAGGGAAGGAGGGGCAGTCTCCTCCTGTACCAGTCAGATCTGATTTGACGGTACACTCACACAAAAATAATAAAATAAAAAAAATTTAAAAAAATAAAAGCTGCATGTGCTGGAACTGAAAGTGATAGTGATGAAAAATCACAACAGTAAATTGGGATTGGCCCAATTATTTTAAAGTAAGGGAAAATTTACATCACATTAAAGGGTAAGTAGAAGTCTGTAAATCAGATATCCCTAACCCAAACACTGACTCCATTTTCTGATCTACGTAAATAATCAAGAGACCGAGTGGGGAGGGTTCTCACTTAACACAGAGAAACGTTTACTAAAACAAAAATCTGAATATAGAGTTCATCTATAGGGCAGAATATCTACAATTTCTAATATTTAACTGCTTAGGCATACTTTAATCAAAATTGTGACTAAATAAAAATAATAGCAACCAAAAGGCAAAAAGAGATGACTATTAAAGAGTAAAGGGCAGTAAAAATGATTTTCTAACTGCTGCCCTCTTATGGCAAAAGGAGAAAAGCATTTCTTTGCATTAAAAAGAAATCCACAATTAGGAGAGGATAAAATAGATTAATTTGGTCCTTCTAAAAATTACATTTTTGTGTACATTAAAAAAAAACTATGATAGCATATTATGATTATCACAGGAGTCCAGAATTAAGGTTGCATAGTGGAGTGCATTGGGGCGGGGTGATTGTATACCAACGGAGAAGTTTATCTTCTGCTTTTCAGGGAGAGGAGCATACTGGGGAGGGGGGGGGTAAAGAAAAAAGTGCAACAATGAATGAATGGAAATCCAGAATCTCTGTAAATGTTCATTGAAATTAATAAAATTTAAAAAAAATTTTTAAAAAGCCAACGTTTTCCCTAGCACAAATAAGAAAAGGCTATTCACAGAGAATGAGAAAAAGTACTACTTCTTACCAATTTTAGTGTCTGCGTATAGGGTTATAATATCAGAGCCTTAATATTAGTATGAAGGGGATCTTATAATGGTTAAGTGCTCAGTTGCTAAACAAAATATTGGTAGTTTGAATCTACTAGCATCTATGTGAAGAGAAAAAAAAAGATGTTGCAGTTTGCTCCTGTAAAGATTATTGTCTAGGAACTCTGTGTTTTAGGATGCCTATTATTGAATATATTTTCTTAACATCAAGAAAACACAAATCCTCATCACTGAACCAATAGGCAACATTGTGAAGATAGAGGAAAGATTGACATTGTCAAGAATTTAATGTTACTTAGATCTAATATCAACCCTAACAAATCAAAGGACATATGACATTGGGTAAATGTTCTGCCAAGGATATTTCCAATGCGCTAATGAGTAAGGATGTCAGTTGAAAGACTAAGGTTTGCCTGATCCAAACTAGATATTTTCCATTTCTTTCAATGCATCTGACAATTGAGTAATTAATAAGGATGACAGAAAGACTTGATGCCATCGAACCGTGGTGTTGGTGAAGAATGTGAAATCTCCTGTGGACTTCAGCTCTTCCCATGTGATTATACTGCCTCTGAAAACCCACTTGAGAGGAAGGTAAGAGTTGCTTCCAACTCAATGGTACACAAAACAGCAACAACATTCACTATTAAAATACCAAAACAAATCTGTGTTGGAGGAAATATAACTAGGGTGGTTTTTAGAGGCAAAGATGGTAAAACCTTGTTTTACATGCTTGGACCATGTTAGGAAATATCAGTCCTTCAAAAAAACACATCATGCTGGGAAAAGTAGACTTTTGGTGAAAAGAACACACACAATGAGTTTAATTGACACAATGACTGCAATAATGGACTCGGGTACGTTGGAGATGATGAGGATGGCACAAGATAAAACTAAGTACTAAACTGTTGCTCGTATTGTCACCATAAGTTGTAATCAACTCTGTACCACAAACAACATTGATTCTTCATCAATTTGACCGCACACAGCAACAAAAACAACAATGTTGTGAGTACTTTATTTGGTTAATGTTATTATCCAAGGAAGACCCTGGATGAGTTGGATTGACACAGTGACACTGGCAATGAGGTCAGGTGTATTGGGGATTGTGAGGTTGGCTCAGGATAGGGCAAGGTTCAGATCCATTGTTCACAGGGTTGCTGTAAGTCTTAGTTAAGCACATAACAACACAACAACAGCTATAGGTCTATTCACATAAACGTTGCATATTCTCCATACATTCAATCATTCATTATAGAG